CTGATGTTAATTCTGTAGCTTAATGTGTATCAAAGATAAGAAAACATTCCCTTTTCTGTGTGAAGTGGCAAAAGTCCTTGGCAGAAAATGGCAGCGGCCACCCTGAAATGAGCCTGGTGTTATCCCTTATCCATGGCTCCTATATGTTTTTATTGACTTTATATGAATTTATATTTTGTATGCTATTTTTTAAAGTGTTTTTATGTTGCTGGGGAGCATCGAACTGTGCCGACTGTATATAAATGCGGTATATAAATGCGGTAAATAAATAAATATCGAAATCTATACTTTCCCCTCTAAACCTGCTTTAAATTTATAGATGAGGCTGACTTTACTGTGATGGCTGTGGATTTGGGTGTATGTGTTCTTGCCTGTTTGAAATAACAGTTTCCATTCCTCTTGACTTCACAATTCTTGTGTCTTGTGGTGTGGTTCCTTTGTGTCAGGATTGGGCTGCCCTGGAGAGTCTGTAGACAGTATCTATTCTTCCTCCACTCCAGAACATTACATAAGCTCTTTATGTATGAGGGTCACGAAGCTAGTTCATCTCCCCCAGCTCTTCTAAGGGAGTGATTCTTTATTGTGGGAACATTTGAAGTTGCGGTGATGCAGCGGGTTAAACCGCTAAGCTATAGAACTTGCTGACTGGAACATTGGTGGTTCAAATCTGCAGACAGGGTGAGCTCTTGTTGTTATCCCCAGCTCCTGCCAACTTAGTAGTTCGAAAACATGCAAATGTGAGTAGATCAATAAGTACCTAGTGGGAAGGTAATGGTGCTCCATGCAGTCATGCCAGCCACATGACCTAGGAGGTGTCTATGGACAACGCCAGCTCTTTGGCTTAGAAATGGAGATGAACACCACTCCCCCGGAGTCAGATTCGACTAGACGTAATGTCAAGGGGAAACCATGGGGGGGGGGGGGAATGGGAACAAGAGGAAAGTCAAGAAACTTGGCAAGCTGCACCCTCCCTCTATTGTAGCCTATTATTTCAGAAAACATTCGCCGAAACTGCAGTAAACAAACAGATAAATACAAACATGAATATAACAACAATAGAAAAACACTTTAGGTGAGCAAAGTCAACCCTATTCAATAGGTATAATGATGAATGAGTACAGATAGGGTGGTATACAGATTGGTCTTGTTGCTACCTTTTAGTAATATATTTCCTTGTTATGGTTAACACTCACAGGCCTTCCCAAAACATCGTTTTCTTCATTGTGGGACAAAATGATTTTTTAAAAAATCACGAAACCCTGTTCCATTATATTTTGAAAAGCCTGGATGCTCTCCCGTCACCATAATCTTGAGAATGGAGGGACTGAACTTCTCTTGATATTTCATTCAACCACTGACCGCATCTGTTTGATCAGTCCATCTCATTCCTTATCCCTTTGTCTGTGCTATCTCTGTCTTTTTGTTGGGGGTCCTTTGTCTCTCTGTTTCGATTAATATTTCTCTCTGCTGGAATTGGGAGAAATGAAGGGAAACGTGCCGCTAGGTTATTTTCCACCCCAAGAGAAAGAGATGGTTTGAAATAGGTGAGGAAAGGGGGCGGGAGGGAAAAACCAATTAATTTGCACCTTTTCTGATTACCTTCAGTTCTGCTGCTCAGGTACAGCAGGGGATCCTTAGTGAGGCGGAAAGCGCATAATGAAGTGTGTCATAACGGTAGCAGGAGCCTATGTCTTTCCCGCTTAGACCACTACTAATTAGAGGGTTTTTTAAAATTTAAAAGCCTGCCCTGAAGTGCCAAAAATTGAATCTAATACTGGAGCGCAAGAAAGGGATGCCACAAAGAGTTGCTTCTGTGCAAAGGGGTTGGCTAGCCAACTGCCAAAGGAGCTGTTGCTATAATTGGCATCTTTCATCTGAAGTACAAATAAATAAATAATGCATGTCACTGAAGTGGAAGAATGGGCAAAGAAGGTATTAGAAGGCATGACTGTGGCTTCTAAAACAGCTAGCCCTCCATTTTAGTGGATTCTATATCCATAGATTCGACCATCCGTGGCTTGAAAATATCCACCACCCCCAAAAAAGCCATACATTGATTTTGCCATTTTATATAAGTAACACCATTTTATTATGCCATTGTATATAATGAGACATAAACATCCACATATTTTGGTATCCATGGGGGGCCCTGAAATCAAATCCCGGAGAATATCAAAGGTCCACTGTGTAGTTTTTGCAGTGGTTTCTTCAGTTTGAATTTGCATCATATGGTCAATGTAGAATAATATAATGCAGTTCAATACAGTTTAACTGCATTATGATTCTACACCAGGCATGGGCAAACTTCAAGCCTCCAGGTGTTTTGAACTTCAACTCCCACCATTCATAACAGCCACAGGCCTTTTCCCGAGGCTGTTAGGAATGGTGGGAGTTGAAGTCCAAAACACCTGGAGGGCTGAAATTTGCCCATGCCAGTTCTACACTGTCCATATTATGCAGCCCTGGTGTCACCTAGTTTACCTAAGGATTACTGCTTTTTCTCCAGTACTGAAGAATCAAGGGGTATGCACAGATCTTGATACAGACACCTACAGTCAATAGATAATTTGGGGGGGGGGGGTGTAACATAACCTGGTGCATATCTTCTGTGTTTTAAGTCTCACTGAGTTTGCTGGGAACTTAAGTCCAAGGTGGGAGTGTTTCTTCATTTGCTTTGGAATAAGTCTCTGAGCAGGATTGTGCTGTTAAGAGTCTTAGTTAGTAGCTACGGTAATCCTACAGAGGAAGCAAGTCTATATCTTTATTTGAAACAGACCTTAGAAAAGAGTTCAGATATTAAGAGCTGGTAGTGAACTTTCCAGTTATATAAATTAGTACTTGAAGGAAAAGATGGTAACATAACATAATCAGTCTAACTCAAGAAACAAAGAAGCAGGGAGGTTCAAAGTGGAGCTCTGCATACTGACTGAATTAAAAATGAGGCATCCTGGAATTGCATCATCTCCTTGGCCCACTATGTATCAGACGTTTTTAACAAGGTATTGGTAGGACAGGGGAATTGTTTAGAGGTGTAACAGTGGCAGATTAGTCTGTTTACAGAATCATAGTTCCCTAATACAGTTCTGGCCCAGCTTACTTGTCCGAACGCATCCCCCACTATGTCCCGCCTCACAGTTTAAGATCATCCGGGGAGGCCCTGCTCTCGCTCCCACCAGCATCACAAATACGTCTGATGGGGACGAATGTCAGGGCCTTCTCAGCTGTGGCCCCCCGCCTGTGGAATTCACTTCCTACTGAGGTGGTTAATTCTGGTGTTTCCTCAATTTTGTTTTAATATAAAAAGAGCCATTGGCCTTATTTAGGTGCTAAAGCAAGTCTTACATGACTGGTGCACATCACTTTTGCCATGGCTTTGCTCTGCCCATCACACAAGCAAAAGAAATAAGTATGTAAGGTAGATTTAGCCTTCATTTCCTATTGTGTAAGTGTGACTTACACTATGATTTAATCTGAGCTTCCAATCTTGGCTTGCTTGTAGCCCATTAACCATAGTTCCAATTCATATGTATTAGGGAACTAAGAGTCTGTCTTTGTGACTTCTTCCTTTTGTAGCAAAGCAGGGACAAAGAGCTACATGTATGAGCTACTCATACAGATCCTTACTTAATATGCTCAGATTTGATTATCCTAACAAAGCATATAGCAAAACAAGAACATAAATGTGGAGTCCTTCAAGTGAAAAAAAATCTGTTTTTATGTGATAATGAATTCATGTATAAATGATATCAGTGTTCTTCTGAGTTTTAACTTCTGAGGAGTTGGCATGAAGAACCTCTATATTTTGCAGAAGATTTTGAGATAATGTGAAATTACACGCCACCCTGTTCTTTGGGATTTCATTCTTACCTTGATTGAACTGAGCATTTGGACTGGAACATACTATCCTACATCTTCATATTGTTACAGGCATAATACCTGTCCTGAAGAGGGAATGAAAAGGTGAAACTTGGTGGTGATGGGGTGGGGCAAAGTTCTGCCTGTGAGCCCCTCTTCATGCATTTCCAAAAATGGGGTGGAGGGAAGGAAATGGCTGGAAGTCCTCTCCTGGATTTGAAATACAGCTACTTATGATATTAAACTGTGCATGTTTAACAAGTTTTGTGATGTTAAACAGTAACTATTTGAAAGCTTAATTGCCTCTCTTGGAGACTTCCTGGAGTGTGAGTGTGTGTGTGTGTGCGGGGCGGGGCGGGGCGGGGCGGGGGGGGGGGGGGGGGGGGGGGGGGGGGGGGGGGGAGAGAAAGGGCCAGTGGAGGAGTCATGGGATTTTGGTCCTTTCATTTGAAAGGAAAACACACTTTGAAAAGCTCCCTGCTTTATAATATAGTGTAACAAATAGTGAAGCAGCAAATAATGTGTTTCTGCCATTGTGCGAAGTAGAAATGAAGCAGTGAAGCCAGTCATCAAGACTAAAAGTGTTTGATTCTTTCATCTGGTCACTACTTTTAGAGCCCTTGTTTGTTTGTTTTTTGCATGTTGTGGTAGTGATGGTGGTGGTGTGCCTTCAGGTTCTTTCCAACTTTTGGTAACCCTGAGGTGAACCTATCAGCAGAGAGTATCACATGTCCAAGATCATCCAGTGGGCTTCCATAGCTAAATGGGGATTTGAACCCAAGTCTCTTGTGTCATATACCAATGCTCAAGTCACTGGCTTTCATGTTTAGATGAGTGATCCATTAAGTTGGAGGTATTTAGTCCTACAGATGTTGGAATACAGCTCCCATCATTTTTCATCATTCCCTGTTCTGGTCAGGGCTGTAGAAATTGTAGATCAACATCTGGAGGTCCATGGATTGTAGTTCCAACTTCGTTGGTTGCCCTTTCAGCCATTCTGTATATGCTGGTGCCATTTGTTTGTTTTGCTAGACCCCAAACTGGAATAGAGTAAATCAGTTCTACTTTGAACTTGCAGCATCTGACTACTTTTTCCTCCTTTCTTTCTCTTTTCTTTCTCTATCTGTCTCTGTATTTCCCAACAGGTTTGGCACAATGACTTCCTATGCAGGGGCTTAGCAGCGTGGCAAAATTTGGCTGTTTTCAAGCTGCCTCTCCCCCTTCCCCCTTTCCCTTTACCTCTGGGAGAATTCAGCTGGCTTCCCCTACGCTGAGCGTCCCCTCCCTTCTCCCAAGAGGGACAAATCTACAATGGCCGGGGACAGACTTCCACGCAAAGTGATGGATCCTAAGAAGCTTGCCGGCTTCTTGAGGAGTGGGGCTGAAGGCATGTTGGTCATTGACAGTCGCTCCTTTGTGGAGTACAACTCCTGGCATGTCCTCAACTCTGTCAACATCTGCTGCTCCAAGCTGGTCAAGAGGAGGCTTCAGCAAGACAAGGTATCCATCACAGAACTCATCCAGCCAGCCTCCAATATAAAGGTACTTAAACATGGTCCTTGGTAACCCTCCAAGCCCTGCTGTGACTCAAGTATTCCTGCTTATTAAATATTTGTAGCTACTAATCCCCATTCTACAATGACATTCTATATTCAGGAAGTATAGAGGTCCATCCCTGATATATATAAAGTAGCAGTAACAAAGTTGGAACATAATTATCCTACATGGTTCCTTTTCTCTTCCAAATATAGCTGCTAATATTGCAATTGCAAAGACACACAAAGAAAGACCTGTCCAAATTGTGACTTTTTGTTCATCCCAATCTCTTCTTTATCTGCTGATTTTTCATTCCTACTTTTCCTCTTCGTAGGAAAAAAACATGTCGGTTTTGGTAGTGTGGAAAGCTTCTAATACTGTTTTATTTCTGAACCAGTTTCCCACCATAGATTGCAGCTATAGGAGTTCTGTGATGTAAAAGTAACCACTCCATTAAGGATTCTGGTGTTGCACATCATGTGTACTTTTGTTTGTAAATCAGATCATGGTTTCATTAGGGGAGGACAAAGTAGAGCTAATGTGAGCTGTGTAATATTCACTATGATCTAGGAGTACAGCAAATGTTTCCTGCTAGGTGGTGGGAGGGGGGACATAAAGTACTGCTTTTACAGTTCTCAGATAATTTTCCCCAAAACCTCAGCTTAGGCAAAAGTTATTTTCTTTTTTTTTTTGTTCCCTGCATTGCCCATGTTTCACTTCTTCTCTGTTAATTTAACTTCATAGTTCCTCATTTATCTTGTTCCTGGGAATAGTTTTCTTCAAGTTCCCATAATCTGTAGTTATGTAAGTGAGTTGTAAGGCCATATCGCCAGTCAGATTTGGTTATGTAGGAACATTAGGAACATTACTGCGATCAAATAAAGCCAATTCATACCAAGAGTAATACTTCCTTTGAATATTTTTTAAAAATCTTTTTGGCCGCTATCCCAGTAATAAATGGGTCGTTACCACTGCTGCACCTCAAAACAATAAAGGGGGAAACATCCTTCTTTTTATTTTTGTATGTGTTATTTTTATTTAATCAGCAGCTATTTAATAAATATTTAAAACCATTAAGATAAATTTTAAAAAGAGAGGGAAAAGATCTACTATATATTTTAATAGCAGTTTCACTAAATTAAATTTATTTAGTACATTTTCCTGCTTCTTGGCAGGGGGTTGGATTGGATGGCCCTTGAGATCTCTTCCAACTCTATGATTCTATAAAATTATTTGACAATGACAACAGGAAACTGTGTGGTGGCGATCCAGTGGACATTGTATATTTAGATTAACATTAACATGGAGCCATCTGTGTGTCTTAAATTGTTAATGTCACTTCCCCCAATTTTCACACTGCCTTCCTCAGAGTCCTGCTTTCCATATTATAATGATCTGCATATAAATATCCCCTTGCCATTTGAAGTCATTCTGCTTCCCTATATTGTGTCTTGTCCAGAGTACAGGCTACAGTATCAGAAGTATGAAATATTGTGGCACACCCATTTCTTTTGAGCAATCCACAGTTTTTCATTATCTACACAATCAAAAACTTTACTATAATCTATAAAGAGCTCATTTTGGTGTGATTCATTAGCAAATATATATTCTGGATATGATCTCTGCTGCCTCTTCCTTTTCTGAACCTGGCTTGGATGTCTGGCATTTCTTATTGTCTGCATTAGTCACTGGCAAACTTTGGTCCTCCAGGTGTTTTGGACTCCAGAAATCCTAGCCAGCTTTGCAGCTGTTAGGAATTGTGGGAGTTGAAGTCCAACACCTGGAGGGCCGAAGTTTGTCCATGCCTGGTCTATATTGGTAAAACTTTTTGTTGTAAAATCTTGACTATCACTTTGTTCCAATGGAGGAATTATGTGATGATCTGGTAGTTACCATAATCCATGGTATCTTTTTCCCCTGGTGAGGGATGTTTGTGGCACTTTGTTTTATTTTCCATATTTGCTGTAGGTTTTTGTTGGAATTCAGATGAATTTTGTCCATAATTTGAAACAGATCTATTGATAGGCCATCTGTTCCTAGTAATTTATCCATCCCTAGTGCTTTGGAAGCAACTTTCTCTCTAATGTATTATAAAAATTCAGGATTCATTCTCAAAAAGTTCTTCCTTGAAGGAATGTATCATATTTTATGTAGTTTTCTATTAGCTGTTGCCCTGTAGCTTCCTCTTACTGTGTTAGGGTGATTGGAATATTTAATCTAGCTCCTGGGCAAAGGCAGTCTGACATGTGAGATTTCAACCAATAGCAATGCTACCTCCATCATAGGCTCTAAGCTTATGGTAGAGGTACCTCACTGTGTTTGTATACTGGCAGTGCTTCTAATAATTCACCCTCCCTAGTTCCTTGCTTCTCTGAACTCATTTCCTGATGCATAATCTGTCCTCAAGAGCCATGGGTTAACAGGGATAATCCGTTGAAGTAGGATTTATGTCAATGAAAATAATTTCATGCAGAGCAAATTGTGTGCTGGGGAAGGGAGGATCAGGATGTGATACTGTGGACCCACCATTATTGATCCTTTCCATGTACAGAGGGCAGTGAACAATCAAAAATGGTCTGAGTGCTCTTTTGATGTGAAGAGTGGGCTTGCTTGCCAGCACTGAAAGAGAAGAGCTTGGCTATACACATTCTTTTCTTCCTATCTTTTTGGAAATTCAAAGTGATGTTATCTGATGTACTGATTTATTTGATCAGACCTTCTTTCCAGAGTCCCCATGTCAGTCTCTCCTCATAGTCTCTTTGGCATTTTCCACTCCACCATGCCACCCCTGTGCTGTACAGGCTAAAATATAACTCCTCCATTCACCTTGTGTGTAAAAGGCAAGTACTCTTAAGACAGTTCTCCTGCAGTTCAGACTATGCCAAATGCACCTGAGCACAACCAGAAGGAAGCTTCCTGCTCTTTCCACAAGTACAGCGATTAACAGTTGAGAGTATAGTACAGTGTTTTTTAAACTTCCCTATGCCAGGACACATTTCTTGGAGAATGTCTCCATGCTCTTCATAGACAAACAGTGATATGGTGAGTCCCACTGTTGGGTTGTCAGACTTGAACTCCAATAATCCCTAGACAATATGGTCAGTGAGGAAAGATTCTGGGGTCGTAGTCCCATGTAAAACATGTAAAGACACACAAGTAAGACTCTGGAAGTACAGTTAGGTGTTTGGCCATATCACAGAGAGATAGGCAAGAGAAGACCAAGAAAGCAATCGTTCCCTCTCTTGATATAAGAACCTTGTTCTTTTAACATTGCCTCCTCTCTGTCTCTTCCTCCAAAGGGCCCAGGTATAGTCAGTCCTTTTCAAGTTCACCAGCAATCTTTCCACAATAGATCTTCCTTCATTGTGGGTAGCTCTCAGCAGCTGGATTGCTTTTTTCTCTTGCCTCTCCCCCATTCTCCCCCTCCACCCCATTTTTTTTATTATTTTGTAGCAAAGGAGGGTAATTCAAGCGATTAATCAAATGCTAGGCCCAGCTGGAGCCATCTGTGGAGCCCTCATTTCCCCCTCCTTTTGCCTGGATGCACAGGGCTCATTGCAATTGGCTGGCAGTGACATCACCTCTGCCTGGATGAAGTAAGAGTGTGTATGTGTGTGAGAGTGTACATGAAGTGGGAACTGGGGGGGGGGGGATAATTCCTTGTATTGATGCTTCAGGCAGGGGCTATAGAGAATGGCTATTTTTAAGCCACTGTTCACATGGAAGAATGGCGCATAATACTTGTGTTCTCGTTTTTCAGATTCTCAAAGAGACATATCTGCTTTTAGGTGACATGGGGGATATCACCCCTGGAGTGGCTGCAGCTCATTTAAATTCTGGGAGATTTCGCTAGCTGGAATAATGTGCAAATGTTTCCAGAAAAAAAGAGAAATGTGTCCCCTGATGGTAACTGTTTGGGGGATGAGAAATGGATGCAAAGCTACTCCCAGATAGGGCAGCCTTGATGTCATCTGCAGAGCTTTCTGTCTTCCATGATTCTTTGGGCACGGGGTTTTGGGACCTCCTGTGCATTTCAGAGCCCTGAGAACTGTAGCACTGCAGTTTAATTGTTACCTAAAACGAAAACAGTTTCTCAGTCTCCTGGATGCAGAGAGAGGCTTGAGAATGTGTCTTTAGAAATCTCAGAGCCTAAAGGAAGAGGTTGAGTAGGATTTTTCACTGCTCATCAGGGAGCAGCATTTAAATGTTTTCCCTTCCTCCTTGACTTGCAGAGACGGAGTATAATGTGCAGCATAAGATAATACATAAACATTTGTTTCATTTGCATATTTCACAAAGGTTATAGAACTTATCTGTTGGGATGCCAGATTTTGGGTTATCCATGCAGAATTTTGAAAGAGACTGGAGCTGAAGAGATATAATAATATAATAACTTTATTTTTATACCCTGCCACCATCTCCCCAAGGGGACTCGGGGCGGCTTACAGTGGGACAAGCCCAAAGATTACAGATAAAAACAAACATTTTAAAATCAAAAAACAAAATCAAAAAATGAAATCATAGCTGAAACAAAGACGAAACTGGGTTCAGGCTCAAATAAGTGCAATAATTCCTAAGTAGAGCCGAGGGAAGGTGCAGAATCTAAATGGACAGGACTAGGGGAAAATCCATTTCCCCAAATTCTTGGATGACAATTTTAGAACATGTCTTGTAGTTCTCCCAGAAGCAGTCTGTCCTTTCTCAGAAAAGAAAGCAGCCACAAGGGACTCTACCTGTCCCCCTGCCTCAGAGATTAATCCTCCCTAGGATGAGCTGGTGCCCTGCTGTTCTGTCTGAAGGGTTGGCTGTCCTTCAAATTGTCCTCTATTTGAAGGGCTACCCAGCCAGAGCAGATCTGAGTTGAAGGTAAAAGAGCCATGGAAAAGGAGTTCAGGGACCCTGAAGCTGTCTGTCAACAGTTAGCACCTGAACAACAGCCTCAGCAGGAACAAAGGTTACGTTGGAAGAGACATGTTATAATTCTGTTTACTTGATGAAGAAATCAA